TGGCTGACGGAGTGGCTTAGTCAAGACCTACCGTGGATAGTTGAGCGCTGCGATGCTGTCGAGGATGTTCAACGTTCAAGGGAATAGAGCGGGAGCATTCCGCAAGATGGCAAGGATTTGGAGGTATTGGTGTGTTTTGTATGCTTGCGGTTCCATGTACAGGCGGTTGACCCCTGGGCCAGTTGGGTTGCAGGCAGATCCACGGTAGAGAATCTTCAGAGTTAAGCCTTCCATGCGTTGGATGACTCGGGAGAGAAAAAGGAAAGCCGAGCACTTCTGCAAGGAAACCTGACAAACATGCTGTAAGTGCATTATTAAAGATGATGCAATATGTAACTAATGGCCATAATGATGGTGTTGATAATACAAATTGTTTTGTAGCGGAAATATTGTGTTGTGCTTAGCTCTAACACGGCTCGGGTAATAGCTAAAACTGCAGAATGTCAACCGAAGGCCAGGTGGTTATGTAAGCACGCGTTGTGGTAGCCGGAAACCAGTAAACGCAGTGACGATATGGCGCGTTTCCTGTGTACGCCAGGGGATGAGGATTATCGAATGCCAGATAATAACTATTATGTACATGGTTAGATGAGGATACCAGGCTGAACCTAAGAGAAGCCGGACAGGATGAAGTGGATATGAACAAGAGACTATGTGTCGAACCTAGGAGGAAAAGGAAATCTCGCTGGTGGACGGGGTTTCCGTTGCGATAAAGTTTATCTGGGTTAAGCATTCTAGTTAATAATGGATACCTACAGTGTTACAAAATAAGGCAATCACCCAGCAAAGGTATGTAATGCAACAGTTCATGGGAACACACTTGGAGAGATAAGGAAAGGCTCTAAGCAAGCTCCGGAAATGGGCAAAAGTGCATGGAGCCTACGATGACTAGCTGCCTCTAAAACGTGGTAAGGAAGTTAGAATGACTACAGATAGTGGCGATATGGACCGTTTCAGTACTTAGCAACTGCATTCAGTCAAAGCCTTCCGGTTACTAGTGGATACTTACAGTGTCACAGAATAAGTCAACGACCAGCAAAGGTAGTTGCGGCAAACAGTCCAAGCGAAGAAATGTTGAAGATATTAAGAGTAGCTCCTAGCAATCTACCAGGATGCGCAGGGATGCCAGGAACCTAGAAGGACACGCCGCAGTTAAACGCAGGTGACAAGGATTAGACGACGACTGATAATGACGCTAGGGGAAGCGTAGGTTTGGCTAGCAATGGCATTTGGAGTAAGACTTCAGTTACAAGAGGATACCTACGGTGTCACAGAATAAGTCACCAAACCACATGAGATGTGTTGCAAACAGTCCAAGCGAAGAAAGGTTGGAATTAGTGGGTGGCTCCTAGCAAGCTCCAGACATGCAGAGGAGTAAACGGCGCCTACGACGGACCTCAGTAGACAATTTGAGGTGACGCATGTATGACAAGCGATGGATAGTTCAAATAGTGTCAGTGGCCTGATGTCGACATTCCATTAAGACGTTTGGTCATTAGTGGATAAATACAGTGTCGGTGAATAATTCAAAACGAGAGGTTACTGCTAAAGACATTCCAAGAGAAGAAAGGTTGGAGCGTCAAGAAGTGGCTCCTCCCAAGCACCCGGTTTGCGTAGAAATGCATGGAGTCTACGATGAACAGCTGCTGCCAAAAGGAGGTGACGAGAGTAAGGCGAACGACGGAGAACGGCACTATGAGACAGGGTATCGGAGGCCAACAATGGCCTTCAGTTTAAGCTTTTAATTAAAAGTGAATACCTACGGCGTCACCGAATAACTCACCAAACCAGCTGAATTTGATGCAAAAATTCCAAGCTAATGAAGTTTGGTGATAGTAAGTGGCTCTTAGCAAGCTCCAGATATGCACCGAGATGCACGGAGCATTTGATGCCTAGCTGATGAGAGAAGAGGGATCACGTTTGTTCCATATCCACCTAAACGAAGCTTCCCAGCTGCATCGGTTGCGTTGTACACGGCTTGCTACTGACTTGAAGCTTTGCCGGGTCATCGGTTCTCCCCGACGATTGTGACGTCCTACAGCAGGATCTGGTCCGGCTATCCCGGCGGTCTGCAGTAAGTGACTTACGATCAACCTGGCCAAGCCTTCTTTTCTTTGGGACAGGGAGGTGGTGTTAATGGGCGCACTTACAACCTGGAGGACAACCCACCGCATCCCAAGAGTAGCGTAAGGTACCTCTGCGTATTCTCACGCTGTGCTCTGAAGTCTGTCGACAACCCAAACAGACTGAATTTAAAAGGACTACACCTGCTTTGGGTACTTAATGGCAGCTTTCGCACTTGGTCCGAAGAGATTGCCACCCGTCTTTTCTCATCCATGTTAAGGTCGGTGCTTGAGTATGGCTCACCCGCCGATTGTCCGGGCACAATAGGTTAGGTGCAGAGGCTGGAAAGGGGATAGCATGTAGCTACTTGGCTCATCCCCAGTCTATGGGGTATGTCGTACGAGGACTGACATAGACTAGAGCTTTATACCCTGTCATATCGTCGGCTTCGACTTGATCTCATAATGACGAACCGCATGTTACACCTGGGCCACATCCTTAGGTTAAGCCGCTGCTGCATGTTCGCGCACCAAGCTGCACACACGGGCACCGGTACAAAGCAGTGGTACCGGCTTCCAAGCGCATTGTGCACCCTCTGTGCTTCAAGCGTTGGGTGGTGAAATATTGGAACAACTTGCCGGAGACGCCAGTCGCGGCGAACTCGTCGTCGGAGTTCACATGATTCCACAATGCGCACTACACGGACTACGGGTATACGGAGCGCAGCGCACCCGGATAACATGTACCGAAGCTGCAATACGCTGCCACATCGCAGGACCCAGTGCCGTGCTTCCGCGTAGGTGCCCGATCCACTTACGATAGAGCAACACAGCTTTTCTCCTCGCGCTCTCTATTCTTGGCATTCAGTATTCGTCCTCACACCAGCACCCTCTGATGTCCATGGCCAGACGATTCTCCAACCACTCTGTCAGTGTGACCACACTAAAAGCTCTTTCTTTTCGTCATTCCGCCTTGCAATCCACGATCAGGGAACGCACCGTCGCAACTTGTGACCGGTTGTCTCATCCAGCTTACAAGAAGTGGCACGCACCACAGACACGCACCACATTCCCTGATACTTAATGAGGAATAGAACTCACTTCCCTCGAAAATGACGTCGGTCAGTAAAATGTTGTTCACATCACCAAGGGCAAGCCTTTCCTTAAAGGTCCCCGTGGATCGACTGAGAGATGCAATCCCAGCTGAACTGACGACGCAAACTATGGGGCATGTTTCACTTAACACAGGTACCGTCACCTTACCCGAAGTACAAAGTGATCAGAAATCTATGCAATCTAAGAAAGCGCTAGAAGCGTTCACAATACGAACACATCCCGGTCATGCAGTCTCGAACATACCCAGAAAAACTGTTCTCGTACTTGAAGTGAAACACAAAGATGGCATCCCAGAGGTCTGTAAGCTGCAAACTCATAGAAGGGATCGGAATGTGCGCCCACGACACCCACTTTGAAGGCCTATGCGCTATCTTCCCTTAGCAGCATTATTCCGTAGGGCTAACTCTTGCAGCTCTTACATACTTGTTGCCAGAGAAGTCTGGGTCAGAGCGGTAGGCGACCGGAGACACCTAATGCTTATTTAGATTAACTTCAGCGAAGTCATGGACAAAGGCCCACACCAACGACTTCGGCTAAAACTCCAGTGAATTAGCTTCGCAGGAAACGTCTTGCTTGGGCTGCGGACTTCTTGTGAGATGGGAATGTTCCAGCGAAGTTTAAACAAAAGCTTGCTGGCTCTGTGTCTAAGACTAGCGTAGTATACAAGGCCCTGTCCTTAGGCAGGAACATTTAAAGCTCTGCATTATCGACCTCACTGCAGCTCTTCAAGCCGACTGCCTAGTCTATGCCGATGAACTCAAGCTAAGCTCAGTAGTAGCTAGTCTTGAGGACGCGGCAGACTCTATACGGCGCTGGACGAGCTGCATGGCAGATCCATCAAGTGGCCACTACCCGTTAATCACGACCAATGTGCAGTTACTTCGATTGGAAACCCTGATTAATTCCGCGTGTATCACAGTAGCGGATATCTTTCCAAGCATGTCACGCACCAGAAAGATCTGGGGGTTATCGTGTCACATGACCTTAGAAATTTAATAAACACCCTGGAAGAGCTAGCGGTCGCAAACGAGATGCTAGGTTCACTAGGCAGGCCGTCCTTCCATAGCACTCCAGCACTTTCCACAACTTCCATCACATTACATGTTCGCCCGATATTGGAGTGTGGGCCTTTAGCTACCTATCCATAATTGTAATCTGAATTCGTCTTGCTGGGAAGAGCTCAGAGGCGTGGCACGAAGCCCGTCATGGAGCGTCGAGATCTGGCTTACCCGATTCGACATCGAAAGCTGAACTTATTCCTGACGAATAATCTCCGACGCCGTGGAGACAGCCACACCAGACGTTTCCCTTAAGCAGAACTTAGGAGTGAGGTACGAAAGAACTTTAGGCTCAGCGTAGACAGCTCGACTCGAGGCCACAAGTGGGCCGTACAGCAGCCGAAGTTTCCACGCCCGTTCCGAGGTTGTGCTATCAATTAGTGTAGTGCATGCCTAGAACAGCCAGCCGGAGATTATTGCTGACACCACGAGAGAGGAAAGTTTTAAACGGCTGTTTGACCTTCGTAAATGAGTACGGCAGGGTTCTGCTGCTCCAATTGCAACGGCAATAATCTCCAGAAAAATGCCGCTCGGCAACCAATGGCTTCAAATCTGCACGGAATGGAAATCCACGGAGCTATCAGCTTTCCCTCTTCCTGACCTACAAAAAATTAACTAACGAAATTGCCCTGTTCGGTAAAAGTCCACTATGATGGAATTTTACCTTTTATGCAAGCTGCAATTATTTTAGCTATATTTAAGCTGTTCGCTCAAACTTACGACAGTAAATTACAAAAGTTTCTGATCCACATACTTCGACCTAGCTTTTTTCAAGGCCGCAAAAATGTCGCACGCGCCTCCAGTACGTTGTTTGCATTTCTTGTATTTTCGCTTCATGTCCACAGTTTTTGCGGCATTATGCTCCAATCAAATGATTTGCATAGCTTGAACGTACTGCATTTAACCACACAGATATCTTCAACCGGTTACTTTAGAAAGTTAAATACCAACATCCTATGTGAAAGCTTTCTTCGTTACTTCTGCAAACTTATCCAGCCGCTTCTGATTCTTCTGCTGCACTTGCTGCTTTGCTCATTAGTGCATTCTTATGATCTCCATCAACAGGTATCCTTGCGAAGGTACAATAATGTCACGTGTTGTCTCAAGTAACCAGTTTGTATGTGTACCGGTCAAGAAGAGCCTTAATCCACTAGCGGCGCTTCGCAGGTTCTTTTCTTGGTTTTGTAAGTATAACGCCATTTTTGTGTTTGTTTTTTGGTTGGATCGTCAGCGTGAGAAAGGGTGAACGGAAATCTTCGTATTAGATGACCAATGTCCATCGATTTGTAATATCATCCTTGTGGTGATTTTAGTTAGTGGTGAGCCACATTTGCCACGTCGCATTGTTGTTAAACAGCTGTTTGTGGCTTTTGATAAAGAGAACGCTTGTCAAGCGAAATCTCACCACTTTCTGGAACACTGCCGCCGAAACATTCGCCGGATCGAGATTAACCTGAACTATCTAGCTAGAAAACTTCTCCGAATGTTTTATCATTCTTACATTTGCACGCAATGAAAATTGCGCACGGTGTTTACTGCATCCAGATAGCTATCGCGTTGCGCAACTTACGGTGGTATCATATTTGTGTTATCTCCCTAGGATGTTAGGAAAACATACTGAGCAACGTCCTTTCAGTTACACAAGATGCAACGTTTAAGTGATATGTTCAGTAGACATCATACGTCCGGTATCTATCCGGGATTCAGACTTTTTAGTGTCTGATGATGGGCCTGTCTGCGGAAGGATTGTGCACTTGCCTTGTTATCCGAAGGTCACCGATTCCAGTCTACATAGATGTGGGCTACCTATTGGTATACTTAACCCACGGGCCATTCGTGGTGACCGTGTAGCAGCGAGGCGTTGGTACGCTATACGGGCGTACTGTTGAGACATTTTTCGGATGATGCTGTAATGAAAGCTTGTACTTGCCAATAAGTATCGTAGATCCGCCAGCGTGTTTATGCATTCACATGGCCTTAAGCCTGCTACTGATATCCATGAAAGTGCTTCGTGCTCGACATATGGCTTTTCTCCTTACCACCTCAACGAGTTACATTGTACGGGACCGTGTTTTGTTAAGCATACGTTGTAACCATTGCTTTGTTTCGACTTAGGAGCAGTACAATTGGAATTTTCGCTGGCCATCTAAAACGAACTAGTTGATTACAAGATAGTGATTGCCCGGTTAATTTCTGCAGGGGTTGTTGGCTTATTCTATCAGATTTATCTGTCGTTTTAAGTTCAAACGGCTGCAGAATGTCTGTTTACTGATGGTCTCCACTGGGCTTGTACTGAATTACTTTCATTCTTGATATGCAGTGTACCATAGGGAGTTCAACGGATATCCACTGGGGATGACTGATCTCGCGTGATCATGCGTCTTGGTCATGCTGACGCTGAAATCGTAGACCCAGCATGCATCATGGAGCCATCCAAGTATGCTGCGAGCATTCGATTGACCAGGTGTTGCGCATGCCAGCACACTGACTCTCGCATCATGCATGTTTGCGCGCCCGGGGTTTAGCTGTAACATCATCACCGTCATCATCATTACACGTCAGCTGAGGGTGAGAAACACCTCGGCTAATATGCCGCAATACAAAGAGACTAAAAAATTACACTACAAAAAATACGCTGTTAAATACTGTATGATCCGTTGAGATCGGGATTGGAGGGGAAACCTAGAGAGGATGGACAGAAACTCACAACACAAATGCCATTAAGACCGATTCTTCGCCATATCACCAAGTGTGTCCAACCAAACGTGTTCATCGCCCTTCAGACCCCAGCTAGGCAGTCGGGATGCACCAACCGACGCCAGTTTCGGAATGAGCGTTTTCATTCCTCTCGACCAAGTCATCGCATAGCCTCTCCTCTTCCAACCGCAACCCCGGCGCGCAAACCATGCACGTCGCGGAAGTCGCTGTTCTGGCATGTGCAACACGTGGCCCAGCCATCGGAGTCTAGTGCGTGATATAATGGTGCTGAGTGGTTCACTCGCTCTTCCTGCACCAAATACGCGACGCCGAACACGCTCATTGCTCACGCGGTGCTCCCACCAGACATGAGCTAAGCTGCGAAGGTAGCGGTGATCGAGTATGACGAGCCTCTTTATGTCTGTCGACCTGATGGGCTAGGTTTCACAACCATATAGGAGAGTTGAACGTACGGATGTGTTATAAACTCTGCCCTTCATGGCGAGAGAGTAATATCACGTCTGCGCCACAGGTGGCCGGGATTGGCAAAAGCGCCTCGAGCTTTTGCTATGCCGTTCGTAACTGCATCTTCAATCCCACGGATGCTAATATAGCTGCCCAGGTACTTGAATTCTTGAACGACTTCTAGCAGATCACCACAAAGCGTTAGCAAAGGTGTGGGTCCTTGCCAATCTTGGAGAAGAACTTAGTATTCCGGTGGAGCAAAGCATAGCCCAAAACGATAGACAGCCAAAGTTAATCGGTCCAGTGCTGCTTGGCATGTTTGGGATCTGTCACAGATTAAGGCAATATCGTCCGCATACTTCAAATCGAGAAGTCGCTTACCAAGAAGTAGCTCCACACCTAGGTCGTGTCCAGCGAATTCAGTTTCCATGATTCCGTCAACTGCGAGGTTAAAGAGGAAAGGTGACAGCGGGCACCTTAGTCTCACCCCGCTGGTGATACTGAAGAATGGCGACAGTTTGCCATGAACCCTCACCCTGCCCGAACTGTGAGCGTACATCGCTTTGATAATGTATGCATGTTTATCAGGAACACCTTATTTCAGCAGACAGCCCCCAAAAGCACATCGATCGCCTGAGTCAAAGGCACGTTTTATGTCAAGAAACACAACGGTGGGTCGCCAATAAACATGGCGGTGCTCCAACTATTGACGCAAGGTGAAGATGTGGTCAGTGCAGCCCCGACGTCGACGAAACACAGCTTGCTCTTCACGAATCTGGTTTTCGCGAGTGCCAGTCACTCTGTGGGGAATGACCGACGCAAACAATTTAGAGCCACTTGAGACCAGACTGATCCCTCTACGATTGCCGCATTCCGAACGGGAGCCTCCTTTGAAAATTGGGACTTCCGGTGCGGGTCCAGTCTGTCGGGACCGTTTCCTGCTCTCAAAGTTCCATTAGCAGCTTGTGTAAATCATCTGCTAGAGCAGGTCCCCCCGAATTTGAAGTAAACAGGAGGAATTCTGTCTGCCCCTGCGGAATTACGCAATTTCAACAGTCTTATCGCACATTCGTCTTCTGCGCGTGAGAGCGGATCCAAGGAGGGCCCAGGGAGACAGGCGCTCAATACCCGAAAAAGAAAGCGATAGTTCAGTTTAGTTAAATTGCCTTGCAGTGTTCGGCCCAACGCTCCAAGCGTTCTGACAGGCTGTGGATCGGCTGCCCACTCACGTCACATATGGTCTCGCTAACACCAGGTCTCCTGCTGCCTGTTTTCTGTATCAGACGGAATAACTTACAATTATTACCAACGGTAGCGGCTGTTTCCATCTCCGAGGCCCGATGAAACCGCCAGGCTTCACGGTCTTTCTTCAGGCTAGCCCGCAGTATTGCCCTGAGATTTTTGCGAGCGTCATTGTATTCGCTTCCAGACGGAATACATTGGCGAGCATCCATAAGTTTCAGAGACCTTTTAGAGACCCAATGTCTAGGTTGGCAATTTGATTTGCCACATGAAGACATGCCTACTGATATTAACATTCGACGAATATGCGACCAGTGATCTTCGTCGGTGTTCAATGGGCGCTTATACAGCCCGGATGTCAACGCACTTTGATACACCTTCAGAACACCTGGCTTCGCCAGCTGGCTGGTGTCATTCTGTTGACGTCGACGTTGCGAACGTCCACCGAAACGCACCCGGAGGTCGGAGCCAACAAGTGCGTGGTCAGAGTCCACACTAGTGCTTCAAATCGAGCCACAGTTTTAGACAGCCTCTCCAGCGGTAACTGATCGCGATATGATCTATTTGTGTCCATGGCTGGCCCGAGGCTGCTGGGCGCCAAGTCATGTTTCTGTGGATGCTGCGTAGAAAGTTTGTGCTCGCGAGAAAGAGACGAGCATCTTCACACAGCTGTAGCAATCGCTCACCATTATCATCTCGGGTGCCTACACCGTGTTTGCCGCCCAGATGAAGGTCATCATATGACAATTTTCCGACTTGTGCGTTTAGATTGCCAGCCAACACCACACTATCCATGCTTCTTCTGTAACGAAGGAGATCGGGAAGTTGCTGATAGAAATCATCTTCCACTGAATCAGTGCTACAGTTTGTAGGGACGTAGGCCGCAATAACAAACAGGCACCGTTTGTTCCCCCGCGACTTCGTAGCACGGGACGAATCAGCTAATCTAACGGCGCACATCCGACTGTTGACTGGGATCCAATCGATCAGGGCAGCTTCAGCCCGGGGACTCAAAAAATGCCGACGCCAGCTTGACCATCATTAGCAACTGCATCATTGCCAGACATAAACACGGAGAATGCGCCGCCAGTGTCGCATGTGGGGGATCGCAGGGTAAACATGAAGCTCTAATCTTGCAAGCGGGTTTCTGATAAACATCAAATATCGATCGATAGAGTCTAGTGTGCGGGCAATTGCTGTCTGTTGGCCAATCTACAGCAAATTGCGTACGTTTAGGCATACCAGTCTTAGCGAGACTCGAGGGCTCCAAAGGGAAACAGATGAATTGACGTTGTCCGCTTCGTTGCATATGGACTTGGTGAGTGGATTGAAGCGACGCCATGCGACTGAGTTGAAACGAGAAGACAAGCGACTATTGAAACAAGGTGGGGTAGGATC